CTCCATGGTGTTCTTGCTGTCCATGTCCTCTTTTATAGCCGCCATCACCATCACTCCAGTCACTCGTTCTGCACGTAGTCGGTAGATACTGTCACGCATCATGAACTTGAGTGATGTGCTTGGCTTGGAGATCCAAGCAGTCTGTTGGTCCTCTGAGCATGTCAGCTTGGAGTTGCCCTTCGTTTGTAGGTAGCCCAAACTAATGATGTTCACCTTCGCGTTCGGTGTGTACACCACGTCGTTCAGGAGACGGTCCTTGAGCTGGCCAGTTGCCTTGGTTCTGGTTCACAGCGTTGGCTTGACGAGAGTTGGGCGGTCTGTTGTCACGACGTGGAGACATGTTCCGCCCTTGGTAGTTGTCACGTCGAGGTGAAGGTCCTCATCCTCTCGAAGGATTATCACGCCACTGCTGCTGCGGAGATGACGGTCCATAGCGACTCAGTCGATCATCGCGTTGGAGTGGCGGCTCATAGCGACTCGGTATCTCGTTACGCCACGTCTGCTGACGCGGTGGGGATCGGTAGCGCCCTGGATACCCTCTCGGCTCACGTCCTCGCAGCGACGGAGAACGGCCTCTTCCGCTTGGTGGAGATAGTTCTAGATTGAAGAATCGGGGTGGTGAACGACTTCGTCCTCGTCCTTGGATAGGAGGGTCAAAGTGTCCAACATCTTGACTCCAAAGTCCTCTCTCGTACGCTCTCTCCAAGTTAGGTATGTAGTCATTGCGCATCCCTGGTTCTTGGCGTCTGTTAAACCCGGCGTCAGGACCTCGACAACTATCCCCTTGCACAGCCGAACCCCCTTGTGGCTCAGCTTGATTGCGCCATGGCTCAAGTGTAGGTCCTTTCGAGTTACTCGACAGTCCTTGCCCCAAGTAGTAGATGACTGATTCCCACGTAGGTCCTAGTCCAGCTGTAGACCGGTTGCCCTCCCACTGAGTCTGCGCAGTACTCGATAGAGTAGGTTGCATGTTTTGCTGTACAGGAGCTTGTACATCCTGTTGAACAGGAGGTTGTCCAGTAGGTTGCACTTCGGGTTGTACCGCAGATTGTATGGCAGTCTGCACAGCTACTGGTGCTTGCAGTGTAGGCAGTGAGGTTGGTTGTCGTTGCTGTAGTCCTTGCCCTCCAACTTGTATGTGTTGAATAGGAGCTCCAACTTGCAGCTGCAGTCGCTGCGTTGCTTGCGCAACCGACGATTGAGTGCGTTGCGTACTTGCACGCACACCTTCAACAACACGACGATCTCCTCCTTCTTCACTTTCCGCAGGATACGTTAGTGACCATATAGATGGTTGCGTAGCCGTAGCTGATAGTGCAGCACCATCCGTAAGATCAATCGCATTTGCATCGCATAGTGATAGACCAGCAAACAGTCCTTGGCCATCTTCTGCCGACGCTACCGCATCCACACGACGTACGGAGTTCACCAGCGACACGGGAGCCCTGGGTTGTCTCTCTTGCAGCTTTCTCGCAAGCTCTGTCTTCAGTTGCTGGCCAGTGAGAGCCGTACTCTCGGCATACCAATGTCCTTCTCCTTGGCAGTTCGCGCAGTTTGTACGCTGCTTCTTATCTGCAACGACCTTGGATCGCTTACGCTGTTGCTTGTTGCGCTTACGTCCTCGAGCTTGAGCTGTCATTGATCCGTTCCGACGTGAGCAACTTGCATTGAATGCGTGACTGGTTGTCTGGTCTGTGCACGCAGCTGGTCACGCTGGTGCTCAGCAGCGCGCTGCTCAGTCGTTGCAGAGCTTCAGCAAGTATAAGTGGCTTACGATCATGGTTGTTAAGCCAATCGCCATGTTCACGGGCGAGACCTTTGAACGTTTCCACGCTGTTCGACAGTAGTAGGCTTGCATGTTGCCACTCAGCGAACTCACCATTAGCTTGATGTAGAAGTGTCACCTTCTTCGCAATGTCGTCAACATACTGCGAAACCGACTCGTTTGGCTTGAGCCGGCGCGTCACTAGCTCTTGCAGTAGGTAATCAGGATTAATGCCATCTCCAGCCTCAAAGTGCTGCGTAATCGCATCGTAGAGCATAGCGGCGGCGTCCGTATTGTCGTGGATGTCGTCGATCTTGAACGTCGTACGTAGGTCAACAGACAGCGACAACGCAAGCGCTGAGAACGCCTTGTTCTTGCGCGACTTGTACCACACGCGATATTTGTCACGACGCATGCCTTCCACTGCATCGTAGCGCTCAGGGCCGTAGGTGATGTCTCCCAGCATCTTCGTCTCGAAGTGCAATGGCACCTCGCTCGTCCAGGCTTTGTAGTCGCCCTTCAGATGGAGCTTGGGCAGCTTGATCGGGGGCGAGTTGATGAGGACCTTGGTGTACTCAGCCAGCTCGCCGTCGTTGTAGCGACCAGTAGGGTTCATGTTGTCTAGAGGGCGCCACGGATCGTTAGGATCTCGGTCGCCGTTTTGTTGGTTTTGCGGCGACTGGGAAGGATTGTCAACTGGCACGGATTCTTCCGTGTTCGTCGACCAAAGTTTATGCATACTTTCGAGTAACATTTGGAATAACGGGCGGCCACCCGGGATTCCAGCCAATGAACGAATTAGTCGTTCTGCATCACTGTGCGACAGTGTTGCGTCATTGTTCAAGCTTGAATTTCCTGCCAATGGGGTCGAAGCTTGATCTTGATTGGTCGAAGTTCCAGAACTTGTGTCTGGAACACCAGCAGCCACGTCAGTCGCAAACTGCGCCCTGATTGGGCTGATAACCAGTGGTGACGTAGGGCTCGTCACGGGGGGATTGTTCTCCATGTGTCGATCACTTCTAAGAGTAGGAGCCATTTAAATGTAAATACACTTAAGTATCAACTTTAGGGAGGTAATCAGGAAGTAACGTAAGCACGTAAGTGCGGGCAAAAGGCCGCGACAGGACTGCGGTGTCTGGCGAGGCTGCTCTTCTCTGCTGCTCTCTGGTGAGCGGCAGGCGTCAAAACGCAAAGTGGGGAGCAGCCTCCGCCAGAACACCGCTGTACCGCAAAAAAATAGATTAGTATACAAATAGCAGATAAGTCAATACTAAACTCTAGATAAGTGCACTCTCGTTTGAGTACACCATCTTTGTAGCGCACAGCCAACGATGTCCTTGTGCATACAGTCCTTGGTATAGTCCTTCGCCATTGCACGCATGTGTACTCAGTGTAGCCGGTTGCAGTGCAGCCGCAAGCTGCACTTCCAGGCGCATGAGTGTCCTTGGGATGTGTCTTTGCAGACACTGGCAGTGGACGGTGGCTCGTAGATGGGAACACCGGACACTGGCAGACTGCAATGCACTGACGCTCGCACGCAGGTAAGTTTACAGCTCACAACCAGCACATCAAGCGTGTCATTTATGTAGACTACCACATGGGACTGCGATATTCGTGCTGCCACAGATATGGGACACTTTTTGAGGAGCCCCCAAAATAGGCTCTGGGTTTGCTATTGACGCAGCTAAAGCATATTCAAATAGTATAAAGCACATGCAGTTTGTCCACGACGTTTTGTTTTGCCGCCCTTCTAGCACAGACAGCTAGATGTAGAGCTGAAAAAGCTGCTCTTCATCCGAACACTATTTCGGGACACTGGAAGGATTTCCACTTCACTTGGATGTAATATTTAGAAAATACCTGGTCGGAAATTCATGGACACGAACGTTGCCCAAAATAAAATACCGAACGAAAATCGGTAACAAAAAAAACCGGGTGTAGTATTTGGAAAATAGCTGGTCGGAAATATCATGGACACAAACGTTTCTCTTTTTAAAAGTTTGAGTGCCTAATTTTTTTTAACATAACATAGACTTTTATACGTGTGCAGATTGTATAGTACTATTAAATTTGAGTAAAGGTAGGACACTAGCCCATTTGCACTATTTTAGCCGTGGGCTTGCCCCTCTCTAAGAGAGGGGCAGGCCTACGGCGAAGAGAGTCTCTTCGCTTGCTGCGCTGCGCGGCCTGCCCCCGGCCTGTAAGGCCTCGACTCGGTAAGACGCTGTGTCTGGGATTAGAAACATTTTATGCATTTGGGGAGTATAATTGTAAAGTCGGTTAGCTATTCGGGCAACTCTAAAATAAAATCGCAATCGTTTTAATCGATCGAAGAATTTATTAATAGTACATAAACACATTCGAGTTAGCAAGGGTACTACAGTATACTACGAAAAATTGCACCTTAAGCTTAATTTTATAAAAATACACAATCGAACAAGGTTGTTCTAAGCAATCTTTAAAAACATTTCTTGCACAAAACACAATTGCAAGCTTCTATAATACTATACGCACAATACTTCAGTAAAGTTCAGAAAATAAAGTACGGATTGCTAATCTGTTTCTGTTCTCGCGGGCTGAATTTGAGACTTCTAAAATGTACAATATTTCTGAATCGCGTAGTATTTTACAAAAGTAAGTATTGTGCATTTCAATGCTTTTGTCCTTTTCACTTAGCCTGATGCTCGATTTTTAATAAAGAGAGGTCGTTTTATTAAACCGAGGTAAATAAATCGATTTAGCTGGACTGGCTGCTACAGCATCAATATCCTGTAAATCGACCCTTTTTACCGTTTAAATGGTAATCCGATCAAAGATAAAAACAAATCAATGCCTGCCTCCCATCTCATTTTTACGCGTGGTTTTACGCTCCGACCTAGGCTATAAAACGGATGGACATTCCATCTGCCCAAACACAATCCATGTATGGGAAACCAATCCTTGCCAATATGCCAGCGTTCTTCAAGCAGTTTGCATGAGTCCAGAATCCACCAATACCGAGTTGGTAGCCGACGGTACATGTGCATGCATGGCTTCGTAAAGCCAAGTCCACCGGTTCTGAGCAGTTACGCTCATCTTCGCCCTTCCACTCTGGAAACAAAGCTCATACCGGTATTCATATTGTGAAGTACCTTATAACATGTGAAGTAGCGTACATTAACATAGAGGTTTACTAAAGAAATTAAAATTAATACATTTTTTATTGACAGAAGTCATTGGTATTTAAGACATGCATTATACCACTTAAAGTGCAGTGAATGCCTATCTTAAGATATCGAAATTTTCTCGGGATGTGGTCGGTCAAATCAACACCTCATGTTTACATGGGTCCGAGTCCACCGTTTTGTCACTTCGAAATCTGCGATTCATCAGCAAAGGCAAATAGGTGGCGGAAAATGCGTTTGAACCAGGTCGTTTTGGCAACTGCTGTTGCTCTGTATGCAAGCAGCAACCTCGTTGCCGCCGAGTCCACTCGGGATTGGCTGTCTGTGGACGATTTAAACGAGGAGCGCACAACTGCTACAAAGACCGCTACCAAGACGAACAATGTCGAGTCCGACTCGGGATCGGACATGGAATCTGGTGTCACCCACGTACAGAACTCCGATGTCACTCAACTAGAGCTAGATGCTTCTGAAAGCAGTGGGGCTACGAAGGCCACGAAGAGCACGAAGGCTACCAAGTCTCCGGTTCTGAAACAGAGGTCAGTTATCACGTCTGACTCCGGATCGGACAGTGACCTGGAAGACTCTGAGTCGGGATCGAGTGGATTAAAGACTCTGCTGTCGGGATTCAGTGACGATGAAAGTGGGTCGGAGGACTTGCTGGGCTCGAGCGACAGCGATTCGACTGACCCTTTTGATATGAGCGGAAGTGCTCTCAGCGGTAGTGAGCTGGATGCTTTGCTTAGTTCCTTGGGCGGCAGTGGCCTGGGTGACTTCAGCGGCAGTGACCTTGACGACCTGCTGTCTGGTCTAAGCGAAAGTGACTCGGGCAGTGACTTGAGCGATCTGCTCTCGAGTGACAGCGCGTCGGGCGACGACCTGTCTGATCTACTCGAGGACGACAGCGAGTCGGGCAGCGACAGCGCTCCCGCTAAGAAGAAGGAGCCCAGCACCCCTGCACCTACCACCAAAACCGACGATGGATCCGAGTGTCCTAACGGTTTCATCGGTCACATGAAGTCGTGGTGGAAGAACACGTTCGGTAACGGCGACAAATGCGCATTGTCGCGCAAACCTGACGACAACACTGAGGCGCAAAAGAAATCGGGCGGCTCTCAAGCTGCTTCTAGCGGCAGTGGCAGTTCATCGAAGTCCACGAAGAAGAAGGCTGTGGCGCCGGCCTCCGAAGAGGACAGTGGATCGGAAGACTCGGAGTCGGGATCGACTGATTGGGACGATCTGCTGTCGGGACTGAGCGACGACGACAGCGGATCGGAGGATTCCAGCGGCAGTAAGTTGAGCGACCTGTTCGACATGAGCGGACTTGGCGATCTGTTCTCCTCGGACAGCATGGACCTGGACGACAGTGACAGCGACTCGGGCAGCGACGAGACATTCCTGCCCTCGGGTAGAGGCGCTAAGCCCACAGATGACAGCGACTCGGGGAGCGACGACACAGCTGTCCCTGGAAAGACTTCTACGAAGAAACAGAAGAAGAAAACGTTTCTCGGCTCTACGTCGGGCTCCAGCGACTCGGGCAGTGAAGAATCCGTTGTCCCTTCTACGAAGCCGGAAAAGACGAAGAAGAAGGCCGCGCTCGTCGACTCCGAGTCGGGCTCCAGTGACTCGGGTAGCGACGACTTCGCTCTCCCCGTAACCAAGACAACGAAGAAGAAGAAGGCCGCGCTTATCGACTCCGAATCGGGTTCCAGTGACTCGGGTAGTGACGAATCTGTCGCCCCTATTAAGAAGTCGAAGAAGAAGGCAACGCCCAGCCCTTCCACCGATGCCAGCGACTCGGGCAGCGACTCGGACTTAAGTGATTTGCTGCTTTCTTCCAGCGGTTCGGAGACTGAGGACTCCACGGAATCCGACGCGGAATCGGGCAGTGAGGACGATGACTTCTTGAAGGGCCTGTTTTCCTCGACGGGCAGTGACTTGCTGTCCTCGAGCCTGAGTGACGCATTGAAAGCCGCCGGTTCTCTGTCGAAGGTCAAGACGAGGGCTCCAGCTGCGAGAGCAGACACGAGTGAAGACGACTCGGGCAGTGACGCTTCTTCCGAAACCGAGACGCCGGCTAGCACTCCAGCTCCTGCGAAGGAAACGACCTCCAGCAGCAGCGGATCGTCCGAGTGCGGCACTGGCTGGTGGGCGAACACGAAGTCGTGGTTCAGCAACACATTCGGCAATGGCGATAAGTGTAAGAAGTCGTCGCGCAGACTCCGCCTTGAGTAAGGATTATTCGTGGTAGTCCGAGATTCTACGTGGCACTCGGATAAGGAAGTTCAGCAATGAAAGTATGCAGTGTGTCAAACCTTACGATGAAACATGACCGTGATGCAGATCAAAGATACCATACCGGTAGCCTGTGCATAAGGCTCTTTACCTATGGACCATGCGTTAAGAACTTAGGCAGAAACTGTAATGTCGTCAGCTTGTAATACATGTACATGTACCAGATGCTCGAATGTTTCAATAGAATTAAAATAATCCTTGTTTGGACTACACGTACCGAAAAGGACATATTTCCCTCTCCAACAAATTCAAGGACATTTGGGGTCAACGGATCTACTTTTAGATACTTTAGTTCGGTTTAAAGTCTGCGGACTGCCCGCCCCTCTTTTCGCTTGCTCCGCTGCGCTCGGGGGGGGGGGGGGGCACCGCTGCGCAGCCTGCCCCACCCCGGCCTCTAAGCTCTGGACTCGGCAAAGCGCTGTGCCTGGGATTAAAATTTTTATCCGTGCCAAGACCGTCGGTTAAATACATTTTAGGCATGTTGGGGAGTATAACTGTATAGTCAGTTAGCCATTCGGACAAATGAATCACTCTCAATAAAAATATAGAACGTTAGATAACCCCTTTTCCCTTGTGAATGCGGCAATCGAAATGCGGATCCGAAAGATTCCAGACCAAGAACGAATCGACTACGAAATATTTCTCGGGATTTGATTTGCCCAAGCTGTTTGATATAATGGAAAGGGAGTTTCTTACCGCATTGACTATAATAGTAACAACTGTATCACTTTGAAATTTGCGCTCCACAGGCACAAGCAAAGACGTGAGGACAGCTGGAAAGATAAAAAACACACACAAATGCGTTTGACCTACGTCGTGTTGGCAGTTTTCATTGCTCTCTGTGACGAATATGTTGCCGCCGAGGCCTCACATGGAATGCTGTCAATTGGAGATATCAGCGAGGAGCGTGCTTCTACGGAGGCCAGGACTAAGACGAGCACTGCAGTCTCCGCGTCCGGGTCAGACGGAGACGACAGTGGACTGGAAGACTCAGAGTCGGGATCGAGTGAGGATGCCAACGGATCAGGGGACTTACTGTCATCCAGTTCAAGTAACTCTTTTGACATGAGCGGCAGTGGACTTGATGACTTGCTGTCTGGCTCAAGCGACAGCGAATCTGGTAGCGAAGATATTGCCGCCCCTCCAAAGAAGGCGAAAAAGAAAAAGAAAGCGACGGCAATGTCGGACTCTAGCAGTGGTAGCTCTTCCTCCACTGCTGCAACAAAGGCACCCAAGAAAAAGAAGTCACCAGCCGCTTCCACTAGTGGGGATGCAAGTGACACGAGCGACTTGTTGCTCTCTTCGAGTGCTAGTGGTTCGGGCACAGATAGCTCGACGACATCTGATGCGGGTGAGAGCAACGACTACTTGAAAGGCCTCATGTCCACGACGGGCAGTGACTTTTTGCTATCCTCGAGCCTCAGCGACGCTTAAAGTCTGCTGACTCCCTGACGAAGGTCGCGACCAGGGCGCCAGCAGCGAATACCGAGGACGAATCGGGTAGTGACACTTCCCCGGAAACGTCCGGAACGGAGGCCCCGGCGAGTACCCCTGCGCCGGCACCAGAACCTGCGCCGAAAACGACCTCAAGCAGCAATGGATCGTCAGAGTGTACCACGGGGTGGTGGTCTGGCGTGAAGTCATGGTTCAAGAACACGTTCGGCGACGGTGACAATATTGGAACTCCGTTCCGTTTGGCAGCACTCTGGACTTGTGAAGGTAAAATGAAGACTGAATTATTTAAGTGCTAGCTCACGCTCCTCCAGAGCTCCTACCAACACTAACGGATTCAACCCGTTATCATACAATGACCTGGCCCAACTGATTCTCATCCCGAATGTCCTGGCCCACCTGATTCTCATCCAGTGTGTCCATGTCTCGTTGTGCCTGGTCTCCCATGTGAATTCCAACACGCCTCCCTCGAAGTGCAACTTCGACTACTTGGCCTAATTCACGCCAGCCAGCTCCAACATCGCCTTCAAGCGAATCTTGTTGAGCGGCTTGGTAAACGTGTCCGCAGGATTCGCCTCGCCTTTCACCTTGTGCAGATCAATGGTGCCCTTTACCACTTGTTCCCGCACATAGTGCCATCGGAGTTCAATGTGTCGCGTGCGTCTGCTGTAGGTAGGATTAGTCGCCATCACATGAGCTGCTTGGTTGTCAACACCAATTCGTAACTTGACCTCATGATCTGGTAATATCTCCTGCAGAATGTTCCCCTCTGCTACAGCTTCCATAGTAGCCTCGCAGGCCGCCACATATTCCGCCTCAGCTGTCGATAACGCAATAATCGACTGCCGCCGTGACATCCAGGCAATAGCTCCTCCAGACAACATGAACACAAACCCCGTTGTGCTCTTCCGCTGCTCTGGATCATTCGCCCAGTCGCTGTCACAATACCCTTCAAGTACAAATTCCCTAGTTGCTCCTTGAGTTCTTGTGTACGTGATTCCATAGTCAAGCGTTCCGGCCACGTACCGCAGTACTCTCTTCAGACTTCCAACATGTTTCGCAGACGGTTTGCCCACAAACCGACTCAGTTGGCCCACCGCGAACGCCAAATCGGGTCTGGTGCTCGTTGCCAAGTACATCAGCATTCCAATAGACTCTCGATAGGGAAAACTCGTATCTCCTGTTTCCTCATCGCTCATTGGTGCCAACCGCAAGTTCACTTCCATTGGATTTCCAACCGCATGGGCATTCTGGTACCCGAACTTGCTCAGAATCTCTCGTGCATATTTCCCTTGGTGAATTGTGATTCTCTCAGTCGTTTGCTCCACTTTCACACCCAGGTACTCATTCAACAGACCTTGATCCTTAATCCCGTACTCCTTGTCCAGCTGCGCGAACAAGTCCTTCTTGCTCTGCTCGTCATTCGTTGCAACCAGTATGTCATCAACATACACTAGCACATACATGATCGTATCTCCGTCAAAATGATAGTACAGACACGGTTCCGTCAACGACCTCATGTATCCGTGCTTCATCAACCAGTTGTTCAGCTCTGAGTTCCACTCGCGACCTGACTGATGCAAACCATATAGCGCCTTCAACACGATATAACCATATCCGTTGATCTTGCATGGGTATCCTTCAATGGATCTCAAGTACTGCTGGATCTCCAACCGGGCATTCAAGTATGCGGTGTTAATATCTCCGCCATACACCATTAATCCCAGCTGCGCTGCTAATGCCAACAGCAATCTGAACGATGACATCCTCGCCACCGGTGCAAACGTCTCCTTAAAGTCAATTCCGGGTCTTTGATAGTTACCCAGCGCCACTATGCGCGACTTGAAACGAATCACATATCCTTGATGGTCGGTCTTGATGTCATATACCCACATCGTGTTCACGGGTGATGCTTCCTCCGGCATTTCATCCGCAGGAATCTCGGCAATCACTCCTTTCTTCTTCAAAGCTGCAAGCTCTTCCATTTCGGCCATCATGAAGAAGTCACACCACTTCGACCGTATCATCTCACGACGATTACGTGGAACTTTGATCTCACTTGCACGAATGGGTCTTCCATTCTTATCCAGTACACGTGAGGAATTCATCGTCACGTTCACCATGTAGTCATCGAGATACGCCGGACGTCGACGCTCGTGAACTTCTCGTAGTCCAGTCCGTGTCTTCTTCACGTTTGTCTTATCCGCATCCAGCTCTGCACGAGCCTCCTCTGAAGGAGTCTCATCTCGATGCATACGCTTGCCAGTCACTGTTACCTCAGGACTTATCCCCACCACATCTCTGTCTGACTCAGCTTCAGGTAGTGTGTCCTCACCAGTGTCACTCTCTAGCTCCGCATCACTGCTACTCTGGTCCTCAGCAAAGACACTCGCTACTGTGGTCTCTTCATTACCATCTTGCTCTTCGGATTCATCCAGCTTATGGTCAACTACTTCCGATCCACAGGTTCCAGCCACCGATATAGCATCCGCATCTGCTATGTCAACACCCTCAGCCGCTTCATGGACATTCTCGCCCTCAGCTGCTTGACCAGTGTCGACACTAACACCTTTACTAACCTCACTCGGTTGACTGCCTTCATGTTGTACACTTTCAGTAACTACATCACCATGTTCATCGCTCTCAACGGCGTCACTGCCTACTTGAACAGTCTCAATACCGTCCTCAGTAACCTTGAGTTGAACATCACCATTCAAATGAATATCTCCATCCGCTTCGCTATTGGCATGGTGGACAGGTTGATCATACACTTGGTGCATTTCTCGTCCAACCTGCGTATGTACGTCAGTACGCTCGCCTTCCTGTGTCTGCACAGCATCCACACAAGCATCCACACTCTCGCCTTCCTCGAGCTCAAAAGATGGTACATTACTCAGCTCGCTCAAAACAGTCTGGTCCTCATCTTGAAGAGTAAAGTGAAGTGAAGAGAGATCGTCGTCTTCCACTTCCGTTGTGTATCGGTCCCGATACATAACATCTTCTGCAACACGCAGATCTGACACAAACTTTGCTGTGTGCTCATCAGGGAAGTACACTTTGCAGCCAACTACATTCTCAGCATACCCCAATACAAACCCAATCTTCGCATGAACACTCAGTTTCTTGCGTCCAGGAGTCACTGGTACGTGCACGTACGCCAGTGCTCCAAACTTCCGGATGTGGTGTACATTCGGCTTGACTCTGAACAGCATCTCGTACGGAATGCCATTAGTCCCCTTGTTGTACACACGATTCTTGACATACACTGCATTTCTCAGTGCCTCAGGCCACAGGCTCTTCGGTAGCCCCGAATGTGCCATCATAGACCTAGTCATGTCCTCCAACGATTGGTGCGTTCGTTCACACAAATTGAGCTGCGAGCTCTTCGGCCCGACTTTCACATGCTCAATTCCTCTTGAACGATACCATGCATCAATTTCTTCATTGAAGAATTCACCGCCCTTGTCACTCCAAATCTGCTGCACTCTGTATGTTTTCCCGTTGGCATTTCGGCCTGCCTGCCGTTCCGCCCACAACACATACTCTTGCATGTACTTGTTCACCACCTTGCTG